TTTAATTGGCTATTGGTAACCTCGCACCTCTCCTTTCAATATTCCTCTTACTCCGCTCTTCCCCTCCTCTGCTCAATTCACAATTAAATGTCCATAGTATCCGTTATGACGGCGTTCTTTATGTCATTTGGCTGCTAAGGTATTGACAATGTTAAACAAATTCAAACCCCCCTCGGTCCATTTGGCTGCCTTCAACGTCCTTAAGTATCGGGCTGCTCGCACTCGTTCACCCGATTTACCGTGCATTGGTGTGCGCTGCAATTACAATATTGACGATATACTGGTGCTTTCGCAACTAAAGCAAGCTCGGAACCACTGTATTTGTTTGTGCCGTGGTCAGCTCTGTTTTAGGTCATCCACCTGGCTCGTAGTAGCCGCCCCTACTAGTACTCCGTGATTTTGGAGATACTGAAAGTTACGGATGCTTTTCGTTTTTAGTGGCTTTCATGCTGTAGGTTTCTATCCGGATTGTCTGACTGGGTGTAGGAGGTGTGAAAATCTCCAATGTTTGCAAAAGGCTAGCTCTAAGTACTCCTCCCTGTTTCTTTTTCTTTCCATAGTAGAGCTTTACTCAAATACATTGACATGACTTCATGGCAGAGAAGCACCACTGTTCTCTCTGATACTGTTGCCAATGATGACGGTGGTGTCATCCGACGAACGTATTTGCCCACCATTTGTTTCTTTCATCTGCTTGTGTCCACAGCTAGCGTTAAATACGCTCCTAAAAGTCTACTTACACGTTCAGTTGCATGCAGTCTCTAGACCTTCCCGCCTTCATGAGTGACGGGCCATGAGAGCCATGGACGAGTGGGGAGCGTTTAGTTTAGCTGCATATTGTTCATTGTCTCACAAGCTACTGGAATGATCAGTATCGCCCAACCAGGCAATGTCACCGAAGACCTTGTCTTCGCATTCATGTAGAATTCTGAGGAGAACCTCTAAGCGCCAATCACGTGTAGTTTCGGTCTGTCCTATCAATGTATGGTGGATTACATCTTTATGTTTGATCAGTTGATTGCGTTTTCTTTTCAATGAGTTTCATACTTCCAGTTGCCAAATTGTTTAGGTTAGTTGAGAGAAGCTTGAATGGACCACAAAATCCTACTAATTGTCTTTTCATCCTGCACCAGATTTTCAGAAAGTCCAATAGTTAATGACGGATTTTGAGCACGTTTTTGTCGACTAATCTGTGCATGAACACTTCACTCGAAGCGATGGAAGTGCTGTCTAAAAAATTGCGTCTCCTGGTCACTGCCACATCCTCTGACTCTTCGTTATTTTTCGAGCGATACTGCATTCCTATAAAAGCGTTTTATTTGTTTGAAACGCCACCCGGTTCGCACTGTCACATAGTTATAAAATTCTGTGTTCTTCGTAGTTGTTGCGCCTTTCGTGACTGCTTCCAAAAAATAACAGTACTAGTTGGAATGTTATTCACTTTCGGCAGGTAAATCCTCGAAAGGTGTGAACTATTTATCCTTCACTGCGTCCGCACTGATCTCGGTGTAGTACGAACCGGTATTTTCGCATTCACACACACACACACCAGCGAACGGGATCTCATTGGAATTCTGTTTTGCCGGTGTAGTACGAACCGGAATTTCGCATTCACACACACACACACCAGCGAACGGGATCTCATTGGAATTCTGTTTTGCCGTGACATTTTTGGCATTTTTTATGTAAACAACTTTCAGATGTGTTTGTTTCATCTGCCACAGGCCAGTGCGTATGGGCGTTGGTAAACACGTTTTTGCCTTACTGTCATTTCCGTCTGTCACTGGACATCACCCTAGCTGTATCACTGACATTCAATTTGTTTCAAGGGATAGTTTAATTAGACGTTTAGTTCGAAAGTATGCACGTGTAAGTGCACGTTTTCACAAAGTAGATTGACTTGTGACCTAGATTTTTTTGCTGACACCGAACGCGGAACTGGTATGCTACCTTCCCTGGCTTTGTCACATGCGAACCTGGGCTTGTAAATGTGTGAACTTGATTTCTGTATAGGCAGGGATCTAGCAAATGGTACATTATTGAAATCCACCCTGGTGAATTGTGGTTATTTGCCGTTGAGTAAACAATTTCTTACTACGTTTTTCCAGCTTATGGTAGCCTAACCCTAAGCACCTAACCGCCACGCGATTCACTCCCAACCCACGCGCTTCGGTTGATTTCAAAGGGTTTCATCGAGCAGTATTGCTTCTTCCAAGTCAAAGGTCAAACACTACACGGATCCAATGGAAAGAAATTCGTTGAATAAAGTTGTCAACACTTTTTGTCGCAGTAGCAGACGGTGTTTTTTGCGCAATTCCGAGTGAATGTCGCGGATATTCACTACCCTGGACTGTCTGTGACTGATATATGCGCCCAATAATCGCCATACTGGATGTGTTTATTGGCTGTTAACTATTGTCTTCTAAGTTATCATACACTATTTTGGTACTACGTGTCCGAAAAACAACTTTAGAATTGTATAGAAAAATTGTGCTCTGTAACAAATTGTAAATATGCGGTCGAATTGTGACACGCCGTCGAATTTCCCATGTTCGGTATTATACAACTGTCTGAATTGTCACGCTGCCAGTCTATTGGTCGAACCAAGTGAAAAGGCTTCGATTAGTTTTGTGGGGTGGCGCAACGGCTTAGCGACTGGGCACACTCATTCCATCTCAGTTGACATATGGAATGATGGTAATATATTTTATCTTTGTAATGTCTCCCCTTAGGGAGATAAAAATTGAATTTAGTTTATCAGCCATATACCATGTACCATCGGTGCAATGGTCCCAGCTGCTGCAGATCCGATCACTGGAAAGTAGGAAGATATAGCCAGTCAATTGGAGGTAATGGCGTGTTCAGTTCTGGAAGTGGGTAGCTACGCGTTGAAGGCGATAGCTTTGATGCACGGGCGCCAATGACTACCATTGGTGAGTGAGTCCCGGTGTCCCCATCCTGGGAGGCAGCAGTTGTCGACCCAACTAAGTTTAGTGACTAGTGTTTTCCTCCTTACTTGCCAGGTCATACACTGTCCACCTCTCGGTCGCTTCCATTCAGCACAGGGCTGGGCGAAAAGAGCTTTGCTAGTCAGACTGTTTTCTGACATACGGAGTATATGTCCTAGCCAACGTGAATAATTTAGCTGTCGCGAACGACCATCTGGCGTACCTTAACATTACGAATCCGGTATCTCCACCAGACCTGACCAATGCTTCAGAGACACTGATGGTCAAACACCGATAACTTTCGTATGTCTTCTGCGCGTAGATCTAACGTTTCTGATACATGAGGCGGTGTTAATCACAGTGTCCTTGACAGACAAAGTGACGGCGCGTCGGCGCCATAGGGGTCAGAGGTTGACAAAAGCCCCCAGGGTGTCCCGATTCGAGTAATAATACCGTCTCCAGCCAGTCCACCGGGACATACAGTTGCCCAGGTAAAAAAAATTATCTGCCAGGTCGATTGGTTCACCTGCAAGCATGATGTGTGAGTTTGATCCCATCCAGTCTTGTAGCAGCACTTTACACTTTACAGGTGTGAAGCTCATGCCAAACCATGCTGCAGTATTACTCAGCTTGTTCAAGATGGCTTGCTCTCTTAAGGATCTGAACCAAGGAGAACCATAGGTGCCGAGCAGAAGCTATCTTGCTTGGAACTTTGTGCTAGATCGCTCGTTGGTTTCACGGGTACACACTTCATGTTGTGTTCCTCTGAGTCCCTCTTTCTGTTCAACCACAGTGAACAAACCGAATACGGTCCCTTCTGTGGGAGACTTCAAGGAACCAGCTGGAAGTAGCCCTTTCTGATGAATGGTATCGCTGCTCTAAAAAGGAACACCGCATTTTGCATTATCACATGTATACTACATTTGTACACGATTACCATGCCATCTCTACGACGGTTTACGTGTGGAGTTGCTCAGTGTTGCCCGACTCTCGTTCTCAGAAATGGCTCAGAAGGACCGAGTATATTTGATTTAATCATTGCTTTTGTCAGTTATTTAGTCACGTGGTGTCACGTGGTCTGCTAACGACCCCAATTCTACTCTGTGTGCGTGATAGCTGTTTTCGAAAGCAGTTCCCACACTTTCCCCAATGTTAGGTTTACCAGCAGCTCTCTACCGTTCTCGGCTATAACGAACATGTCCATTCGGTTTGCCAGTTAGGTTACGAACCTGTGAATGCCGAATCTTCTATTTCCTATAGTTGCATATCGTCAACCTCACTGCAGCGACAAAAGATAAGACAAATCGCCGGGGTGATGTACGAGTAATAGCGTTTTCTGACTCACCGCTTCAAGCCCTTGAGTCTGCTTTCGGGTCTGTCGGTCAACCAACTTCGCACTTTGAGCTGGATTATTGGATAGCGGCCTTTCTTCGTCATGGCCATTTATGGTCGATCATGCGGCTGGACTTCCGTGAGGACAAGTGCCTCCACGCATCACTGAAATGCTGAAAATGTATTTCACGAGTTTGTAGTGAAGCCCTCCACTACCTTTCTCTGGCTGGCTTATGTTCATTTCAGTTTGTTTCAAAGTTGTCTGCCTCTGTTGTTGTCGTGCTCAGTTGACGGTAAGAGTGTTTGCAATTGACGAAAGCGGAAACCGAAAGAAACACCAATTTAGTTGTCATTCAGGATGAATGAACTTTTTGGGTGATCCAATAACTTTTTTTCGAATTCCCCAAGGTGTCAAAATGCTATTCTCTTCTTGACATCGGATAACTGCAATCTAGACCTGTTTGCCAATTAGCCATCGCTTATATTTCAAGGCCCGATTTCTCCTCGTATCCAATAAGCTTACTTGGTTATCCCATCCCTGGCGATGTTAGCCCTGGTGCCTCCTTCAAGATGTAGGAAACGCTAACACAGTGCTTGTTGTATATAATGATTACTTGTATGCATGCTGAATATTCACTTCTCGGAGTACCTGAAGCAGTTCTTAGGTCAAAGTAAATTAAATTAAGGGAATTATACCTAACTCAAGTTTCATCCACGTTTCCTTCGCAGTCATTTGTGCCCCGTCTCCATGATGCAGCACTCCCTTTTTGCGAGAATCGTCCGTGCGATGAAGCCGTTTTTACGATGTTCATTCTTTTCTTTACTTTACGAACACCGCACTCCCTCTTCGGAAGGAATCTCCAACTAGGAAGAGGTTTTTCTTGAGAAGTCTTCCATTTTTCCACTCAAGTCTTGGAACAGGAGTCATTTGACCTCAATCGAGGAATACTCACGAGGAACAAACCAGGCGTGTGTTCCAATGGTTGACAAACCTTACTAGCAAGATCGATGCTGTGGGATATACCGGGCTATAGTCATACAGAACAGACCAAGATACAATGTGTTCGAGCGTCACTTTGCGATACGACGCGGCTAATTGCATTCGATTGACCCATGAATTTCTTGAAGAAACACGTAAAAGTATCTAGGTTTTATCTTGGTAAAGCGGAACAGAGCAGTCGAAAGATCGTCAGCTGTTCTCATGTGTGAACACAGTTAAAGAAAGAACATATCAGGAAGCAATAGAATGAAATCTTCAGTTTCCAGAGAAAGATCCTTCATGACAGTATGATCCTTCCTTTTTTGTGGAACTGCCAGAGAAGACCTAACGAGGATTTGTCCAAGGTCGTCAGAAACTGCTCCCATTCCCGACAAATTACTGCAATAACAGGTTGGAAGTTTTGTGAAGGCGTTCGATGTTCTAGGATTCGCCGAACTACTGATTACTTCAAGAGCTGTTAGATAGGACGAACAACGACACATGGGCGCACTGGAACTGTTTAAGAGCCCACATTACTCATAGAAGAATCTACATAATCCATCTTGCATAATTTAACATTTTCCACCGGAATCGACACATTGGTCGTGACTTTGCAAACTGTTTTATTATGCATTACTTAAAAGAGAAAGTCTTCACTTTGTTTGATTCCGGTCTTGCTTTGCCTCGAACCCTTCACTAGTCAAAAACCGTTCGCAGTTAAAAACAATTCACTACTCCTGAGATGTTTTCATTATAAGGAGAGAGAGTACTGAACTCAACATAAGTGTACTATTTGCTCCTGTCATTCAACATCACATTTCCACATGTGAATGACACTGATAATCTGGTTTCTCGTTTCCCTCGCTCTTTTTTCTTCTCCAGACTAGAATTGTTGACAGTAAATGCATTAGTGGATGGTGTGAACAGCAAGAAACCCAGCTGCTCGTCATTGCGATGCATCAGGTCCGTGAAGAAGCTTACTGGAGCAGACATCCGAATCGATCCGGTGGAAAACCTGTTGAACACGGTAGATCGGGGCGTGTTTCGGTGAGTGACATGCTGTGTGCTTCTGGACTTCTCGTCTTGTGTTATGTACGCTTGCTCACCATACGGTTCTCAACAATCTCACCGTCCCGTTTCACTTATGCGGCTGATAGTTACGAGACTGGATTTTCATCTGGCAACTCCCTCAACGCGAAGACTCCGGAGAATTTTTTTTTGAAAATTCCGATAGCAGTCTCAGTTCAGGTTTTTTTTCGCCTGCTCGCTTGTGTCTGGATAGGGAATCTATTTTTCCGAGTGCCACTCACGTTGAGATACATGCTTCACGAAATCCAGTAAACTTAGCCTTCATTGCCAAAGTAACTAGGTTCATGGTTTGGTAAACAGTTGGTGGATTTAGTGCTGGGCCACGTTTTCTACAAAACCTTCTCCAGGCCAAGCGAATAAGCTACCACGTTGACCAAGTTTTAAGGCAGTCAGAGAACCAACCGGTGGGATTTCTCATGTCTAACCGATTCAATCAGTGCCGGATGTCAGTCATGAGTTCTCTTTTGTTGATTTGTGTGGATGTCTAACATTCACAACACATCGGCTTTGTAGTGGATTGTCTTAAATTTGAACCAGTATTGTGGCACCTTGCTTCTTCGGTGTACGATATCTTAGTGTAATATTCCTTTGGGGTGTTGTTTGCAGATTTTTTGGTCTATGTGTAATTCGGGGCTGATGGGATCTGGTGTTTGTGTAATTAAGTGAATCTTGGGTTATGTAGTTGTTGCCTAAAACATTTCACTATAACCGCCCGTTTTCTGGGCTGACCCAGAACTCCTCTCCACATGGTTGCCAGTTCTATGCCCTCCACTCTATTCACGCTAGTTTGCTTGGTGATTTTCACCACTCCGGGCATCAGCCTATGTGATGTAAATCGCAACCGTCGTGTCAAAACTTCCACATCTTCCAAATTTAATGTGCGTCCATTGTCCAGTTTACCCTGGACCACTGCATGGTCTCTTTAGTCTTAGCTTAGTCCTGCCCGCTAAGTGCCCCTTCAACCACCCCAGCACTGAGCTCAGGGTTTTTCTTTTCTGGAATGCTAATGCTAGCCGTATTAACCATCCTTCTTATCGCTTTAGATGTCCCTGCTTGGAATGAAGCGTCTTCTTGTTGGGTCTTAGTTGCCACTGAATTAAAGCTACTGGTTAGCCGCTTTTGAAGTCTGCTCTACCTCAGCTTGAAGAGAACTGCATTCAGCTCCATACTAAACTAAATGTAAGGATTCAGTGGTAAGATATTGATAGAATTAGTCAACTTTGTCAAGCTTGATCACAACGACTGGGTCATCTGCGTAACGCAAAAAAAACTTTCATTAGACACTCGAATTCAGCCGAAGCTATATTTCAAATCGTCCATATAAAAATTTATATAAGTATATACTTGCAAAAGCTGAGAAATTCTAGAGTCCCACCGTCATATCCTCTTCTTGAGTGTATATACATGAGTCAACAACAAAATGACGGGGTTTAGGCAAATTTTGATGCCTGCAACTTTCTTCCCTATAGAGAGTTGCGTTCGTTTCATCTGCGTACGCAAAAAAAAACTTTCATTAGACCCTCGAATTCAGCCGAAGCTATATTTCAAATCGTCCATATAAAAATTTATATAAGTATATACTTGCAAAAGCTGAGAAATTCTAGAGTCCCACCGTCATATCCTCTTCTTGAGTGTATATACATGAGTCAACAACAAAATGACGGGGTTTAGGCAAATTTTGATGCCTGCAACTTTCTTCCCTATAGAGAGTTGCGTTCGTTTTGCCTTGTGTGCTTATCGCGAGCTCTTTGCTCGCTCGAGAACGTCCGTTTGAACATCGAGTTGACATTAGAGCTTACGAGCGCTTCCTCCGGTCCAACCGAAACCCAGCTACTCTTTTAGCGAAACCATACGAATTTTATTTTATACATATGACCTACCGGTAAATGGACTTAAGGTGCCTACCAGAAACGTAATTGCGTTCTCAACTGTTCCACCGATGATCCACCGTGCGAAGTCTTCGTGGATGGTGATGGAAATGACACTCTCCATTCCAATTCCCTTTATCCTGTGGTTGTTTGTTTTCGTGGCTACCAGTTGAAGTGTTGCTGGGTTCCGCGTGACTCATCACGCGTTTTTCCAGGAATGTGGATTCATTAGGACGGCCTTTGAGCTATTAGTAACGCACTAATTGAAATCTAAATTGTCTAGCATATAGTGGGACCCTTTTTCTGTTTTGATTTCATAAGAAAATCTCCACTTTGGGTCACCATGTTTACCTCCCACCACTCCCACTATAGACTGGTGGTTTTTAAACATGCACTGAGCTTAGGATGACCACACTTTTCTAAACTTAGTGTCTTTTGAGCTGACTGCTTTTGGCCATACGAGAACTTGTTGCACTCGAACACGGATCAGTTTTCCTGACGGAACATACTAATTTAGTTTTGCACCTTTAATGTTATTTCAGGCTTTGTACGACTCCCTGGCCAGTTGAGTTTATTCGACATTTTTTCTATATTAAGAATGCGCCGCGAGGTGTATGTTTTGCGTAATCTGGCGAGCATGCATATCGAAATGTAAATGTCATGTTGCGAATCCAAAATTGAATCACGCATTTCTGGTATTCGTATGAAAAGTTTATTAAAAACTCCTGATTGGCACCAGAAACTGAGTTACTGTCACGCCACACGAAATTCGACAGACGCACCGTAAGAATTAGAGAAGTGGATAAAGCTGGAGATATTCCTGGAGCGCTCTACGTTACTGTTTTCTTTACTCGAGTCATCGAAGAAATCGGCTCCTCAGAATACTTTGTGACGATGTTCTTTAACCTGAGTTCCCGTATAGATCCCCTCCGGATTAAATGACAAAACATCCTATGATAAGATTCTTTCCAAGAATAACTGATTCGACTGAAGTGTAACCACACATGACTGCTATCGTTAAAATAATGGATTTCTACACCCTTTAGGAAGCCACAAGCTAAGAATATAGTAATGTACTGGGAATGGGATGGACTTACGGGGAGTTGTTCGTGGGTATCGGTTCACCTGAGAAGCTCCTAGTCTGTCGAAAGACCGTTACCGTATGAACGCAGCACAAACCACGGATACTGAACGACGTTGTGCTTCTGGAATGTCACTGTATTATTTAACTCAAGGGTGGCCAATACGCATAAGGCAAGCCTTTGAGTTCCTGTTCTGAGCTCACCCAATGGACATCTCGCTGGGTCATACGTGAAGGGAACGCTGTTGTGGTTTCTGAAGCGAGTAAACTCTTCGCGAAATACATCAATACCACACTACATGAATGACTCAACTGAATTCCAGCTGAGTCACTCCTTTGTGATATTATTCAACTGACTGTGCTGCTCGCAGACTGCCTCATGCTTCAGCTGGTGCGATATTCGAGATGTCGCAGGACAATTTGTTGACAGAGCACTTCTTATAAGGTTGCTGAAAATACATGCTTCAGTGGTGCGATATTCGAGATGTCGCAGGACAATTTGTTGACAGAGCACTTCTTATAAGGTTGCTGAAAATAGTTCGACAACCCACAACCGGGTTAGTGAAATGCGTTCATTTTGGGTTCAAGTAAAAAATAAAGGTGACAGACTGAGACTGTGTCACGTCCCCTTTTCATATTATTCGAGTCTTTATCAACTTTTCGCGTCCCTGTTCAACAGGTCAATCTTTTCATCTACAGTTTGACGGAACTCGTTAACTTTAGTTCTCGTTCATTTGATGACAGCCTCGTCGATTTCCCCATCTTTACAATAGTATTTCGATCGAACATGTTTATTCGTCACCTATTTTGTCTGTCATTTTCAGGCGCTCATACACGTGACCTCGTGAGCGCTGTTTCTGAAGATGCTTTTTTTACACCTAGCCTTACGTCATGCTATGAACAAGTGAAGGGATAATGTACAGCTGGCAACTGTGGACAACATGTGAATAGTCATGCGAGGCTGAATAGTTTTATAGTTTACTAAAGCAGTTTGACTGTACAACCGTAATTTTCATACGGATTTCAACATTGAGATCACCCGCAATGTCCATTGAAGTGGGAAACTCGCCTTTGTTTTAACCTCAAGTTACCATTCGCTGGTCTTCTTTCAATTGAGGGTTGTTCACAGTAACCTGGGACTGCTCCGTTTGTTCATTTATCCGAAATTTCCAGCACTGAAAAACTCCAATTTGATGGTCGGGGCTATTCTGAAATTAGGAGAAGTATATTTTTCCACCCTGTAAATATTTCTCTATTTATTTTTATTTTATTATTTTTTATTTACGTCGGGAGGGGAACTGACGCACAATCACCCATCACAGATCTGTATCAGTGTTTCATCTCTGGGTCCCCTTAAAGTCCTGTCCTACAAAAGCCATCATTTCAGCATGTAGACGAAAGGGAACAGCATATTTCTTTGTAAGCAATTAGAGTTCTGATGTTTTTCGAACAAACAAATGTTTACCAGTCGCTCACTAATTTTGTTTCCTTACACATGCACAAGTGAACCTCGAAGTTCTGTATACATGAACTTTATACCTGCCTGTTGAGTTGTGTCGTCATTGGAATTTACTGTGTGTTATTCAAATTAGAACACATCAAGTGTGTTAATTGTCAAACTTGACATTGTTAACCGCGTTTTCTACACCGACAGCCTCATATTAGTTGTCTGTAGCTCGTAAGAATTGTCTGTCATTCTACTCCCCCACTACGAAATTGACTTGTTGATCATCTGGAGGTTGTCATTCTCTCGGTTGGTTAGCCACACCTGCGAAGTTATTGTACAAAAACCCTATCTTCGACACAGCTCAACAAATAAATATTTACTAATTCGTTTGCGCGTTTCCCACTCTTTTGATTCCAAAGAACCGGAACTCTAGACATCAGTCCAGTTTAGAAATTCCCCCAGTGTCGCTTAATCCCAAGTCCCTCTCTTTAAAATGAACCCGCATTCACCAACCCCATCTCTTTTTACACTTTTTTTTGCTTATCCATATTTCGTAGGGTGA